TTTTACCCCAGCCCCCTAACTCTCTCTCATGCCGGATACCCCCTTCTTTAACCCCAGCTCCCTAACTCTCTCTCCTGCTGGATACCCCCTTCTTTTACCCCAGCTCCCTAACTCTCTCTCTCTCATGCCGGATTCCCCCTTCTTTTACCCCAGCTCCCTAACTCTCCTGCTGGATATCCCCTTCTTTTACCCCAGCCACCTAACTCTCTCTCCTGCCGGATACCCCCCTCTTTTACCCCAGCCCCCCCTCTCTCTCCTGACAGATACCCCCTTCTTTTAACCCAGCTCCCTCTCTCTTCCCTGCTGGATACCCCTTCTTTTAACCCTCTCTCTCCTGCCGGATACCCCTTATTTTACCCCAGCTCCCTAACTCTCTCTCCTGCCAGATACCCCCTCCTTTTACCCCAGCCCCCTAACTCTCTCTCTCCTGCTGGATACCCCCTTCTTTCAATCCAGCTCCCTAAATCTCTCTCCTGACAGATACCCCCTTCTTTTAACCCAGCTCCCTCTCTCTTCCCTGCTGGATACCCCTTCTTTTAACCCTCTCTCTCCTGCCGGATACCCCTTATTTTACCCCAGCTCCCTAACTCTCTCTCCTGCCAGATACCCCCTTCTTTTACCCCAGCCCCCTAACTCTCTCTCTCTCCTGCCAGATACCCCCTTCTTTTACCCCAGCTCCCTAAATCTCTCTCCTGCCGGATACCCCCTTCTTTTACCCCAGCCCCCTAACTCTCTCTCTCTCCTGCCGGATACCCCCTTCTTTTACCCCAGCTCCTTAACTCTCCTGCTGGATACCCCCTTCTTTCAATCCAGCTCCCTCTCTCTCCTGCTGGATACCCCCTTCTTTTACCCCAGCTCCCTCTCTCTCCTGCCCCATCATTGAATTGATTACTTACCCCAGCTGCTCCCCGTTCTCCCCATGAATTCCCTGGTTCTTGGATTCCACATAAATTCCTTCAGGTCTGCCATTATTTGTCCGCAGCTCCGTTTCTGGCTCATTGCTGCCATCCTGGTATCTTCCTGTTACTGGTCCAAGATCGAGCTCTTTCACACAGACTGGCAGAGCAGGCAGCACCTGTCTGTATATATAGAGCTCTCACTGCCCCTCCTCCTCCTCACTAAACCTGTCCTAAATCAGATAACAGCTAACCCTTCCAGGGCAAGATTAACCCTCAGGCCAACACAGACCTTGTCTTACGGGATCTTCCCTACAACACAAAGCCAACTTCAGGCTGTCCAGCCAGCGCACATAGGGGCCAGCATTATTTCATAGAATAAAGCAAATATGTAGGAGAGCGATGCCACCCAGAAAATCACCGCACTGGGAGCAAGATGCAATCACACAGACAGCACCCTCACACACACAGCACACTAACAGCACCCTCACACACACAGCACACTAACAGCACCCTCACACACATAGCACCCTCACACAGCACACTAACAGGACCCTAACAAACACACACAGACAGCACACAAACAGCACCCTCACACACACATCATACAAATAGCACCCTCACACACACAGCACACTAACAGCACCCTCACAAACACACACACACAAACACCCTCACCTACAAAGCACACTACCAGCACCCTCACAGACACATCACACTAACAGCACCCTCACACACAGCACCCTTAGACCACCCTCACACAGCACACTAACAGCACACACACACCCACAGCAGTGTATGTATGTGTGTGTGTATATATGTGTGTGTGTGTGTATATATATATATATATGTGTGTGTGTATATATATATATATATATATATATATTTACATACATACATATATACATACATATACACGCGGCGTGTGTTTGTGCTTTAGGGAGCACACCCTAATGCAATAGGCTGTGCATGCCTATGGATCTGTCCTTACACCTACAGGGTTACACAGTGACACAGACAGGGGTCGCTATGAGTCTGTCCCTCCCCCTGCAGGGTGACACAGTGACATAGACAGGGGCGCTATGGATCTGTTCCTCCACCTACAGGGTTACACAGAGACACAGACAGGGGGGCTATGAGTCTTTCCCTCCCCCTGCAGGGTGACACAGTGACACAGACAGGGGGCGCTACACGTATGTCCCTCCCCCTGTAGGGTGGCAGAGTAACAAAGAAAGGGTCCGCTATGAGTCTCTCCCTCCCCCTGATCGGTGAGATAGTGGCACAAACGCTATGTGTCTGTCCCTCCCCCTGCAAGGTAACACAGACAGGGGGCGCTATCAGTCTGTCCCTCCCTCTGGAGACCGGGGGCGTTTTGCATCTCTCCCTCCCCCGCAGGATGACACAGTGACACAGACAGAGGGAGTTATGAATCTTTCCATCCCGCGCAGTGACATAGACAGGGGGCGCTATGCGTCTGTCGCTCCTCCTGCAAGGTGACACAGACAGGGCGTTATCAGTCTGTTCCTCCCCCACAGACAAGGGGCGCTATGCGTCTGTCCCTCTCCCGCAAGGTGACACAGACAGAGGGCGTTATCAATCTGTTCCTCCCCCACAGGTTGACACAGTGACACAGACAAGGGGTACTATGCGTCTGTCCCTCTCCCGCAAGATGACACATTGACACAGAGAGAGGGCGCTATGAGTCTCTCCCTCACCCCTGCAGGGTGACACAGTGACACCAACAAGGGGCGCTATGCGTCTGTCCCTTCCCAGCAGGGTGACACAGAAAGGGGGCGCTATGAGTCTGCCCTCCCCTGCAGGGTGACACGGTGACACAGACAGGGGGCGCTATAGCTGGAAATTTTTGTACTGCACATTTGTATTTTTATGTTTTAACTAAAGAGGTCCCTGAAGTTAAAGATTGAACGAAACGTGTTGGACCAGTTTTATTTTTACACTCTGATTCCTGCTTTCTTCTGGTGTCCGGGTTCCTGAGTTCTGTGGATCCACACTCTACCCCCCCTAATGGATGGGTGTAGGAATACTGTTGATATACCCTATGCTTGGCTTGGGTGTAGGAATACTGTCGATATACCCCATGCTTGGTTTGGGTGTACCCCATGCTTGGTTTGGGTGTAGGAATACTGTCAATATACCCCATGCTTGGTTTGGGTGGAAGATTACTGTTCATATACCCTATGCTTGGTTTGGGTGTAGGAATATTGTTGATATACCCCATGCTTGGTTTTTGTGGAAGATTACTGTTGATATACCCTATGCTTGGTCCTTGGTTGATATACCCTATGCTACTCCTACACCCAAACCATGCTTGGTTTGGGTGTAGGAGTACTGTTGATATATCCCATGCTTGGTTTGGGTGTATGAGTACTGTCAGAATACCCCATGCTTGGTTTGGGTGTAGGAATTCTGTCAATATACCCCATGTTTCGTTTGGGTGTAGGAATACTGTTGATATAACCTATGCTTGGTTTGAGTGTAGGAATTCTGTCAATATACCCTATGCTTGGTTTGGGTTTAGGTGTACTGTCGATAGACGCCATGCTTGGTTTGGGTGTAGGTGTACTGTCGATAGACACCATGCTTGGCTTGGGTGTAGGTGTACTGTCGATAGACGCCATGCTTGGTTTGGATGTTGGAATACTGTCGATAAACCCTATGCTTGGTTTGGGTGTAGGAATACTGTTGATATACCCCCTGCTTGGTTTGGGTGTAGGTGTACTGTCAGAATACCCCATGCTTGGTATGGGTGTAGGAGTACTATTGATATACCACATGCTTGGTTTGGGTGTATGAGTACTGTCAATATACCCCATGCTTGGTTTGTTTGTAGGAATACTGTCGATATACCCCATATTTCGTTTGGGTGTAGGAATACTGTTGATATACCCTATGCTTGGTTTGGGTGTAGGAGTACTGTCAGAATACCCCATGCTTGGTATGGGTGTAGGAATATTGTTGATATACCCCATGATTGTTTTTGGTGTAGGAATTCTGTCAATATACCCTATGCTTGGTTTGGGTGTAGGAATACTGTCGATATACCCTATACTGTCAGAATACCCCATGCTTGTTTTGGGTGTAGGAATTCTGTCAATATACCCTATGCCTGGTTTGGGTGTAGGAATACTGTCGATATACCTGTCAATAATTCTGTCAATATACCCTATGCTTGGTTTGGGTGTAGGAATACTGTCGATATACCCTATGCTTGGTTTGGGTGTAGGAGTACTGTCAGAATACCCCATGCTTGTTTTGCGTGTAGGAATTCTGTCAATATACCCTATGCCTGGTTTGGGTGTAGGAATACTGTCGATATACCCCATGCTTGGTATGGGTGTAGGAGTACTGTCAGAATACCCCATGCTTGGTATGGGTGTAGGAATACTGTTGATATACCGTATGCTTGGTTTGGGTGTAGGAGTACTGTCAGAATACCCCATGCTTGGTATGGGTGTAGGAATACTGTTGATATACCCCATGCTTGTTTTGGGTGTAGGAATTCTGTCAATATACCCTATGCTTGGTTTGGGTTTAGGTGTACTGTCGATAGACGTCATGCTTGGTTTGGGTGTAGGTGTACTGTCCATAGACACCATGCTTGGTTTGGGTGTAGGTGTACTGTCATGCTTGGTTTGGGTGTTGGAATACTGTCGATATACCCTATGCTTGGTTTGGGTGTAGGAATACTGTTGATATACCCCATGCTTGGTTTGGGTGTAGGAGTACTGTCGATATACCCCATGCTTGGTTTGGGTGTAGGAATACTGTCAATATACCCTATGCTTGGTTTGGGTGTAGGAGTACTGTCGATAGACACCATGCTTGGTTTGGATGTAGGTGTACTGTCGATAGACGCCATGCTTGGTTTGGGTGTTGGAATACTGTTGATATACCCTATGCTTGGTTTGGGTGTAGGAATACTGTTGATATACCCCACGTTTGGTTTGGGTGTAGGAGTACTGTCGATATACCCCATGCTTGGTTTGAGTGTAGGAATACTGTCAATATACCCTATGCTTGGTTTGGGTGTAGGAGTACTATCGATATACGCCATGCTTGGTTTGGGTGTAGGAATACTGTAAATATACCCTATGCTTGGTTTGGGTGTAGGTGTACTGTCGATATACCCTATGCTTGGTTTGGGTGTAGGAATACTGTCGATATACCCAATGCTTGGTTTGGGTGTAGGAATTCCCCATGCTTGGTTTGTGGGTAGGAATACTGTTGATATAGCCCATGCTTGGTTTGGGTGTAGAAATAATGTTAATATACCCCATGCTTGTTTTGGGTGTAGGAATCCTGTCGATATACTCCATGCTTGGTTTGTGTGTAGGAATACTATCAATATACCCCATGCTTGGTTTGGGTGTAGGAATACTGTTGATATACCCTATGCTTGGTTTGGGTGTAGGAATACTGTTGATATACCCAATGCTTGGTTTGGGTGTAGGAATAATGTTAATATACTCCATGCTTGGTTTGGGTGTAGGAATACTGTTGATATACCCTATGCTTGGTTTGGGTGTAGGAATACTGTCAATATACCCCATGCTTGGTTTGGGTGTAGGAATACTGTTGATATACCCTATGCTTGGCTTGGGTGTAGGAATACTGTTGATATAGCCCATGCTTGGTTTGCGTGTAGGAATACTGTTAATATACCCCATGCTTGGTTTGGGTGTAGGAATCCTGTCGATACACCCCATGCTTGGTTTGTGTGTAGGAATACTGTTGATATACTCTATGCTTGGTTTGGGTGTAGGAATACTGTCAATATACCTTATGCATGGTTTGGGTGTAGGAATACTGTCAATATACCCCATGCTTGGTTTGGGTGTAGGAATACTGTTGATATACCCTATGCTTGGTTTGGGTGTAGGAATACTGTCAATATACCCCATGCTTGGTTTGGGTGTAGAATACTGTTGATATACCCTGTGCTTGGTTTGGGTGTAGGAATACTGTCAATATACCCCATGCTTGGTTTGGGTGTAGGAATACTGTTGATATACCCCATGCTTGGTTTGGGTGTAGGAATACTGTCAATATACCCCATGCTTGGTTTGGGTGTAAGAATACTGTCAATATACCCCATGCTTGGTTTCGGTGTAGGAATACTGTCAATATACCCCATGCTTGGTTTGGGTGTAGGAATACTGTCAATATACCCCTTGCTTGGTTTGGGTGTAAGAATACTGCCAATATACCCTATGCTTGGTTTGGGTGTAGGAATACTGTCAATATACCCCATGCTTGGTTTGGGTGTAGGAATACTGTCAATATACCCCATGCTTGGTTTGGGTGTAAGAATACTGTCAATATACCCCATGCTTGGTGTGGGTGTAGGAATACTGTCAATATACCCCATTCTTGGTTTGGGTGTAGGAATACTGTTGATAGACACCATGCTTGGTTTGGGTGTAGGTTTACTGTCGATAGATGCCATGCTTGGTTTGGGTGTTGGAATACTGTCGATATACCCTATGCATGGTTTGGGTGTAGGAATACTGTTGATATACCACACGCTTGGTTTGGTTGTAGGAGTACTGTCGATATACCCCATGCTTGGTTTGGGTGTAGGAGTACAGTCGATATACCCCATGCTTGGTTTGGGTTTAGGAATACTGTTGATATACCCTATGCTTGGCTTGGGTGTAGGAATACTGTTGATATACCCAATGCTTGGTTTGGGTGTAGGAATAATGTTAATATACTCCATGCTTGGTTTGGGTGTAGGAATACTGTTGATATACCCTATGCTTGGTTTGGGTGTAGGAATACTGTCAATATACCCCATGCTTGGTTTGGGTGTAGGAATACTGTTGATATACCCTATGCTTGGCTTGGGTGTAGGAATACTGTTGATATAACCCATGCTTGGTTTGGGTGTAGGAATACTGTTAATATACCCCCTGCTTGGTTTGGTTGTAGGAATACTGTCAATATACCCCATGCTTGGTTTGGGTGTAGGAATACTGTCAATATACCCCTTGCTTGGTTTGGGTGTAAGAATACTGCCATTATACCCTATGCTTGGTTTGGGTGTAGGAATACTGTCAATATACCCAATGCTTGGTTTGGGTGTAGGAATACTGTCAATATACCCCATGCTTGGTTTGGGTGTAAGAATACTGTCAATATACCCCATGCTTGGTTTGGGTGTCGGAATACTGTCAATATACCCCATTCTTGGTTTGGGTGTAGGAATACTGTTGATAGACACCATGCTTGGTTTGGGTGTAGGTTTACTGTCGATAGACGCCATGCTTGGTTTGGGTGTTGGAATACTGTCGATATACCCTATGCTTGGTTTGGGTGTAGGAATACTGTTGATATACCACACGCTTGGTTTGGTTGTAGGAGTACTGTCGATATACCCCATGCTTGGTTTGGGTGTAGGAGTACAGTCGATATACCCCATGCTTGGTTTGGGTGTAGGAATACTGTCAATATACCCTATGCTTGGTTTGGGTGTAGCAGTACTATCGATATACGCCATGCTTGGTTTGGGTGTAGGAATACTGTCAATATACCCTATGCTTGGTTTGGGTGTAGGAGTACTATCGATATACACCATGCTTGGTTTGGGTGTAGGAATACTGTAAATATACCATATGCTTGGTTTGGGTGTAGGTGTACCGTCGATATACCCTATGCTTGGTTTGGGTGTAGGAATACTGTCGATAAACCCCATTCTTGGTTTGGGTGTAGGAATACTGTCAATATACCCCATGCTTGGTTTGGGTGTTGGAATACTGTCGATATACCCTATGTTTGGTTTTGGTGTAGGAATACTGTCGATAAACCCATTCTTGGTTTGGGTGTAGGAATACTGTCGATATACCCCATGCTTGGATTGGGTGTAGGAATACTGTCAATAGATGCCATTTTTGGTTTGGGTGTAGGAATACTGTTGATATACCCCATGCTTTGTTTGTGTGTAGGAGTACTGTCGATATATCCCATTCTTGGTTTGGGTGTAGGAATACTGTTGCTATACCCTGTGCTTGGTTTGGGTGTAGGAATACTGTCGATAAACCCCATTCTTGGTTTGGGTGTAGGAATACTGTCAATATACCCCATGCTTGGTTTGGGTGTTGGAATACTGTCGATATACCCTATGCTTGGTTTGGGTGTAGGAATACTGTCGATAAACCCCATTCTTGGTTTGGGTGTAGGAATATTGTCGATATACCAGATGCTTGGATTGGGTGTAGGAGTACTGTCAATAGATGCCATTTTTGGTTTGGGTGTAGGAATACTGTCAATATACCCCATGCTTGGTTTGGGTGTAGGAATACTGTTGCTATACCCCATGCTTGGATTGGGTGTAAGAGTACTGTCCATAGATGCCATTTTTGGTTTGGGTGTAGGAATACTGTTGATATACCCCATGCTTGGTTTGGGTGTAGGAATACTGTCAATATACCCCATGCTTGGTTTGGGTGTAGGAATACTGTTGATATACCCTATGCTTGGTTTGGGTGTAGGAGTACTGTCAATATACCCCATGCTTGGTTTGGGTGTAGCATACTGTTGATATACCCTATGCTTGGTTTGGGTGTAGGAATACTGTCAATATACCCCATGCTTGGTTTGGGTGTAGGAATACTGTTGATATACCCTATGCTTGGTTTGGGTGTAGGAATACTGTCAATATACCCCATGCTTGGTTTGGGTGTAGGAATACTGTTGATATACCCAATGCTTGGTTTGAGTGTAGGAATTCTGTCAATATACCCTATGCTTGGTTTGGGTTTAGGTGTACTGTCGATAGACGCCATGCTTGGTTTGGGTGTAGGTGTACTGTCGATAGACACCATGCTTGGTTTGGATGTTGGAATACTGTCGATAAACCCTATGCTTGGTTTGGGTGTAGGAATACTGTTGATATACCCCCTGCTTGGTTTGGGTGTAGGTGTACTGTCAGAATACCCCATGCTTGGTATGGGTGTAGGAGTACTATTGATATACCACATGCTTGGTTTGGGTGTATGAGTACTGTCAATATACCCCATGCTTGGTTTGTTTGTAGGAATACTGTCGATATACCCCATATTTCGTTTGGTTGTAGGAATACTGTTGATATACCCTATGCTTGGTTTGGGTGTAGGAGTACTGTCAGAATACCCCATGCTTGGTATGGGTGTAGGAATACTGTTGATATACCCCATGATTGTTTTTGGTGTAGGAATTCTGTCAATATACCCTATGCTTGGTTTGGGTGTAGGAATACTGTCGATATACCCTATACTGTCAGAATACCCCATGCTTGTTTTGGGTGTAGGAATTCTGTCAATATACCCTATGCCTGGTTTGGGTGTAGGAATACTGTCGATATACCTGTCAATAATTCTGTCAATATACCCTATGCTTGGTTTGGGTGTAGGAATACTGTCGATATACCCTATGCTTGGTTTGGGTGTAGGAGTACTGTCAGAATACCCCATGCTTGTTTTGGGTGTAGGAATTCTGTCAATATACCCTATGCCTGGTTTGGGTGTAGGAATACTGTCGATATACCCCATGCTTGGTATGGGTGTAGGAGTACTGTCAGAATACCCCATGCTTGGTATGGGTGTAGGAATACTGTTGATATACCCCATGCTTGGTATGGGTGTAGGAGTACTGTCAGAATACCCTATGCTTGGTTTGGGTGTAGGAGTACTGTCAGAATACCCCATGCTTGGTATGGGTGTAGGAATACTGTTGATATACCCCATGCTTGTTTTGGGTGTAGGAATTCTGTCAATATACCCTATGCTTGGTTTGGGTTTAGGTGTACTGTCGATAGACGTCATGCTTGGTTTGGGTGTAGGTGTACTGTCGATAGACACCATGCTTGGTTTGGGTGTAGGTGTACTGTCATGCTTGGTTTGGGTGTTGGAATACTGTCGATATACCCTATGCTTGGTTTGGGTGTAGGAATACTGTTGATATACCCCATGCTTGGTTTGGGTGTAGGAGTACTGTCGATATACCCCATGCTTGGTTTGGGTGTAGGAATACTGTCAATATACCCTATGCTTGGTTTGGGTGTAGGAGTACTGTCGATAGACACCATGCTTGGTTTGGATGTAGGTGTACTGTCGATAGACGCCATGCTTGGTTTGGGTGTTGGAATACTGTTGATATACCCTATGCTTGGTTTGGGTGTAGGAATACTGTTGATATACCCCACGTTTGGTTTGGGTGTAGGAGTACTGTCGATATACCCCATGCTTGGTTTGAGTGTAGGAATACTGTCAATATACCCTATGCTTGGTTTGGGTGTAGGAGTACTGTTAATATACCCCATGCTTGGTTTGGGTGTAGGAATACTGTCAATATACCCTTTGCTTGGTTTGGGTGTAGGAGTACTATCGATATACGCCATGCTTGGTTTGGGTGTAGGAATACTGTAAATATACCCTATGCTTGGTTTGGGTGTAGGTGTACTGTCGATATACCCTATGCTTGGTTTGGTTGTAGGAATACTGTCGATATACCCCATGCTTGGTTTGGGTGTAGGAATTCCCCATGCTTGGTTTGTGGGTAGGAATACTGTTGATATAGCCCATGCTTGGTTTGGGTGTAGAAATAATGTTAATATACCCCATGCTTGTTTTGGGTGTAGGAATCCTGTCGATATACCCCATGCTTGGTTTGTTTGTAGGAACACTATCAATATACCCCATGCTTGGTTTGGGTGTAGGAATACTGTTGATATACCCTATGCTTGGTTTGGGTGTAGGAATACTGTTGATATACCCAATGCTTGGTTTGGGTGTAGGAATAATGTTAATATACTCCATGCTTGGTTTGGGTGTCGGAATACTGTCAATATACCCCATGCTTGGTTTGGGTGTAGGAATACTGTTGATATACCCTATGCTTGGCTTGGGTGTAGGAATACTGTTGATATAGCCCATGCTTGGTTTGGGTGTAGGAATACTGTTAATATACCCCATGCTTGGTTTGGGTGTAGGAATCCTGTCGATACACCCCATGCTTGGTTTGTGTGTAGGAATACTGTTGATATACCCTGTGCTTGGTTTGGGTGTAGGAATACTGTCAATATACCCCATGCTTGGTTTGGGTGTAGGAATACTGTTGATATACCCCATGCTTGGTTTGGGTGTAGGAATACTGTCAATATACCCCATGCTTGGTTTGGGTGTAAGAATACTGTCAATATACCCCATGCTTGGTTTGGGTGTAAGAATACTGCCAATATACCCTATGCTTGGTTTGGGTGTAGGAATACTGTCAGTATACCCCATGCTTGGTTTGGGTGTAGGAATACTGTCAATATACCCCATGCTTGGTTTGGGTGTAAGAATACTGTCAATATACCCCATGCTTGGTGTGGGTGTAGGAATACTGTCAATATACCCCATTCTTGGTTTGGGTGTAGGAATACTGTTGATAGACACCATGCTTGGTTTGGGTGTAGGTTTACTGTCGATAGACGCCATGCTTGGTTTGGGTGTAGGAATACTGTTGATATACCCTATGCTTGGCTTGGGTGTAGGAATACTGTTGATATACCCCATGCTTGGTTTGGGTGTAGGAATACTGTCAATATACCCCATGCTTGGTTTGGGTGTAGGAATACTGTTGATATAACCTATGCTTGGCTTGGGTGTAGGAATACTGTCGATATACCCCATGCTTGGTTTGGGTGTAGGAATTCCCCATGCTTGGTTTGGGGGTAGGAATACTGTTGATATACCCTATGCTTGGTTTGGGTGTAGGAATACTGTCAATATACCCCATGCTTGGTTTGGGTGCAGGAATACTGTTGATATAACCTATGCTTGGCTTGGGTGTAGGAATACTGTCGATATACCCCATGCTTGGTTTGGTTGTAGGAATTCCCCATGCTTGGTTTGGGGGTAGGAATACTGTTGATATAGCCCATGCTTGGTTTGGGTGTAGGAATACTGTCAATATACCCCATGCTTGGTTTGGGTGTAGGAATACTGTTGATATAACCTATGCTTGGCTTGGGTGTAGGAATACTGTCGATATACCCCATGCTTGGTTTGGGTGTAGGAATTCCCCATGCTTGGTTTGGGTGTAGGAATACTGTCAATATATCCCATGCTTGTTTTGGGTGTAGGAGTACTGTTGATATATCCTATGCTTGGTTTGGGTTTTGAATCAGTGTTGGTTTGGGTGTAGTTGCAGCTCAGTGACACTCGGTGATTGTGTAACCTGTGATATCCCGCTGTATCAGGAACTGACTGGATTTATCTGATTTTCTTCTTGACATTCTTGTAAAGGCTTCTGGCTTCTAACTGAGGCTGATTGATATCACTGAGCAAAATATATACAACATGTGTTACTGTCTGATACATTGTGTTTCTGTGTGATACATTGTGTTATTCTGTAATTTTTTAACTGTTACTGTCTGATACATTGCGTTACTGTCTGATAGATTGTGTTACTGTCTGATACACTGTGTTATTTTCTGATACATTGTGTTATTCTGTAATTCATTAACTGTTACTGTCTGATATATTGTGTTATTGTCTGATACATTGTGTTACTGTCAGTTACATTGTGTTACTGCCTGATGCATTGTGTTACTGTCTGATGCATTGTGTTACTGTCTGTTACATTGTGTTACTGCCTGTTACATTGTGTTACTGCCTAATGCATTGTGTTACTGTCTGATGCATTGTGTTACTGTCTGTTACATTGTGTTACTGCCTGATGCATTGTGTTACTGTCTGATGCATTGTGTTACTGTCTGATACATTGTGTTATTCTGTAATTCATTAACTGGTACTGTCTGATATATTGTGTTATTGTCTGATACATTGTGTTACTGTCTGATACATTGTGTTACTGTGTGATACATTGTGTTATTCTGTAATTCTTTAACTGTTACTGTCTGATACATTGTATTACTGTCTGATAGATTGTGTTACTGTCTGATATATTGTGTTACTGTCTGATACATTGTGTTATTTTCTGATACATTGTGTTACTGTCTGATACATTGTGTTACTGTGTGATGCATTGTGTTATTCTGTAATTCATTAACTGGTACTGTCTGATATATTGTGTTATTGTCTGATACATTGTGTTACTGTCTGATACATTGTGTTACTGTGTGATGCATTGTGTTACTGTCTGTTACATTGTGTTACTGCCTGATGCATTGTGTTACTGTCTGATGCATTGTGTTACTGTCTGTTACATTGTGTTACTGCCTGATGCATTGTGTTACTGTGTGATACATTGTGTTATTCTGTAATTCTTTAACTGTTACTGTCTGATACATTGCATTACTGTCTGATAGATTGTGTTACTGTCTGATATATTGTGTTACTGTCTGATACATTGTGTTATTTTCTGATACATTGTGTTATTCTGTAATTCATTAACTGTTACTGTCTGATATATTGTTTTATTGTCTGATACATTGTGTTACTGTGTGATGCATTGTGTTACTGTCTGTTACATTGTGTTATTCTGTAATTTATTAACTGGTACTGTGTAATACATTGTGTTATTGTGTGATACATGGTGTGTTATTGCGGGATACATTGTGTTATTTTGTGATACATTGTGTTTTATTGTGTTATTGTGTGATACAATGTGTTACTGTAATACAGTGTGTGTTATTGTTCGATACATTGATTTATTGGGTGATACATTGTGTGTTACTGCCTGATACATTGTATTATTGTGTAATACATTGTGTGTTACTGTGTGATACGTGTGTTACTGTTTGACAAATTGCATGTGTTATTGTGTGATACATTGTGCGTTGTTGTTTGAGACATTGTGTTACTGTGTGATACAGTGTGTTACTGTGTTAGTTCTTTGTGTTACTGTCTGATACATTGTGTTATTGTGTGATACATTGTTTGTTTGTTGTTGTTGTTTGATACATTGTTTTACTGTCTGATACATTGTGTTTTTGTGTGATACATTGTGTTACTGACTGATAAATTGTATTCTGTAATACACTAACTGGTACTGTGTGATACATTGTGTGTTATTGTTTGATACATTGTGTTACTGTCTGATACGTTGTGTTATTGTGTAATACAATGTGTTTCTGTGATACAGTGTGTGTTATTGTTTGATACATTGTATTATTGTGTGATACATTGTGTGTTTTACTGTCTGATACATTGTATTATTGTGTAATACATTGTGTGTGTTACTGTGTGATACATGTTACTGCTTGACACATTGTGTGTTATTGTCCAATACATTGTGTTGTTGTGTAATACATTGTGTGTGATACTGTTTGATACATGTGTTACTGTTTGACACATTGCATGTGTTATTGTGTGATACATTGTGTGTTGTTGTTTGATACATTATGTAACTGTGTCATACATTGTGTCACTGTGTGATTTCTTTGTGTTACTGTCTGATTCATTGTGTTATTGTGTGTTACTGTGTGGCATTGTGTTACTGTTTGATACATTGTGTTATTGTGCAATACACTTTGTTACTGAGTGATGCTTTGCTTGTGTTACAGAATACTGAATACAGAGACCTCACTTGGAGTATTGTACACAGTACTGGAGACCGTATCTTCAGAAGGATATTGATACCTTAGAGAGGGTTCAGAGAAGGGCTACTAAACTGGTTCATGGATTGCGGGATAAACCTTACCAGGAAAGGTTAAAGGATCTTAACATGTATGGCTTGGAGGAAAGACGAGACAGGGGGGATATGATAGAAACATTTAAATATATAAAGGGAATCAACACAGTAAAGGAGGAGACTATATTTAAAAGAAGAAAAACTACCACAACAAGAGGACATAGTCTTAAATTAGAGGGACAAGGTTTAAAAATAATATCAGGAAGTATTACTTTACTGAGAGGGTAGTGGATGCATGGAATAGCCTTCCAGCTGAAGTGGTAGAGGTTAACACAGTAAAAAAGTTTAAGCATGCGTGGGATATGCATAAGGCTATCCTAACTATAAGATAAGGCCAGGGACTAATGAAAGTATTTAGAAAGTTGGGCAGACTAGATGGGCCGAATGGTTCTTATCTGTGTTCCCAAATAATTTATTTTCTACTTATTTCATTTTGACCATGTACAGCAGGAGAGAAGAAGGAAAACCCAGTTGTGTGACGGGTGGGAATGATGATCTAGAATGCACATGACAGTGTTACTTGGCATTGCAGATTGATGCTGAGTTGTACATGGCCCACTTATGTATTGATATGAAAGGTAAATAAAGGAATCGCTAGCTGGTATGTGTCATGGACACATTGCTGTAGGTGTGGAGAAGTCCCAAAACCTGCTTAGAACATGGAAGGTAGCTCTCAGATCAGTAAGTATAGCTATGGGGTGACAACATGAGACATATATTGGTGTGTTTTACCAGATAGTAGCTGTTAGATGTCAAATCCTGGATTAGCGTTTACAGAGAGTGCAGAAAATATTGTAAGCATTGTGCCAATGAGCACATGACCAGGGCCAAGGTATGGAAGAGTAGTCCAATGAGTAGTGTTTTTCAGGTGGCGGCTGGGGTCTACCAACTTTGGGCATCGGTTAATCCTATGTTTCTAGCTTACAGCAAAGCTGCTTTAACACTGTTCTTACTAAGCTCCATGTCCGCATGTACTGATTGTTTCTATATGCCAGAATGCCCTAACTGACCATTTGCAGTAGCCCATTGCATTGCCCAGTGGTATTCACCAGAGTTCTACTTGTTATCTTTTTGTTTGAACATATAGGACTGTGCTCCTGCTGTACTCTTATACCCTTATGTAAGTAAAAAAGTCCTTAACATTTCATGCTATTACAATCTTCCAGTTTTAACATATGTTTTTCTGGTGACATGATTATCAACACACAAGAACATACAAGAACCAATATGACAACCTAGAACTTGAAATACAATTTGCCCTTACGTATGAAAGCTGCCCAGGATAGGTAGGCCTGGCAGATAACATGGACACTGGACATGACCCAGCACCTGCTGCTTCTCTCCCATAGGGCCCACACTTTTTCAAATAGTCTCATAACATTATGAACTCGTCGTGTATATCCATAAAATAGTTTTCACATATCCTGTGTTACACAGCCACTTTGCCACCAGGGCTCTTCAAGAAGCCAACGTTATTTTATTGAGTAATTTCTGTGAATGAGCCGGCAGCACCACCACTGGCTTAGCCAGGGATTTCGGTCAAATGGTCTTC